AAAAAAAATCACAGAAAACATCAAAAATGTTTGTTCGGGTATAAGCTCTGATATGTAAACAGTATAATCGTAAATGGAATAAAAAACTTATTTTCAAAATACCTGCTGACAAAATTGAGTGCGTATACGAAAAAATATACAAGAAAAAACTATTCTGATGTATGCTGAGGTGACACAGATAAGCGACACAATACCAAACTGGAGTCAAGACTAGTAGTAAAGGATTGAAAAGTTCCGTTCACCATCAGCCAATTTACTCTTTATTTATCAAATTTCGCGCCCTCTCTTCCTTCCTCTAATTGAATTGGGAAGTTATCCACAAAAAAATCTTTAAACTCATCAAATTAGCGAACGCATTATGACTTCCTTTACTTTGTACCCACTATTATTTCCAAACTAATATTGGGTGCTTTGAATTTTTGAATGCAGCAAGGTTTGGATTGCCGACCTGTTTCCCTGCTATGTGGTCATATCTTTTGAATTTGCAATTTGTGAAACCAATGTAAGTTTACACGAAGTTGAACCATAATAGCGTAAAGCTACTTAAAGATAAACACAAAGGTTCATATAATTCTATCACTCACCTGAGCATGACCTTACTTGGCAGTGTACGTTGTTCAATATTAATACGTTTCAACTTCCTATTGGTGGGAGCAACAAAAAGCGTCTGTGGTTCCACAATTAAAGTTCGCTGAAAGCAAGGAAAGTAAAGAGTACACATGCAAGATAAAACAAAATACTGATCAGAGACTTACATCTTCTTTCGGCACCTTAACCCTCAGAATACCGTCGGACCCTTGAACAAGTAAGCTTGATGGGAACAGGGTACCAGAACGATCTGGAACCGACGCATTGTTTTTTAGCATCTTACATGAGAAGCACCAATAACGCACATATTATCTCCAACTTCTCATAACATTCTGGACACACAATTTCTTTCTTAAAATGGAACTTTGGAAGCGGAGCTTTTCCAACGCAAGCAGAACATATTAACTGAAATGTATGAAAAGCTTTCTAATCGTACAGAATAAAATATGAAAAAAACAAAATGAAATAATCAATTGTATTACCCAGCCACAATCGCGACAATGATGCCGTCGATTTATGAGAGAAAACACCGTACCACATCCTTGCATAAGACATTTAGACGAAGACTCGTCGGGAATCCAAACTGGTTTAACAACATCAGCTCCTAAACATGCAAAGAGAATAAATGAGATATGGAATCCTAGCCTCAAAGTTGAATTACATGCAACTAGCAATGACCCACTTTTTCTGCGAATGTATGATGCTTGATTTGAAGAAATAGGCTGCTCTTCAACCGGTGTGCTTGGATGAGATGAAGAATCTTGTGAGTCAGAGTTCCGACGCGATCTGAATTCAGCGACATAAACGAAGGGAGTTGTGTTTGAAGGTATTCGAAGTAGTAACTACTATCTTTGATTCCCTAATTATCTACTAATGTAAAAAAGCGATGGTGGTTAAAGGCCCTGCTCAAATGAGAACTTGAAATGATCCTAGCAGGCAATCGCAGAATATTTTTTTGAATGGCGCAAGAAAAATGGCCCAAAATCGGTGTGGAGTGGGCGGAACTGACCATGACATGAACCTTTTTTCTACAAACCTTGATAGTTTCAGAACATTTTGTAAAATTCTTAATGTTGGTGAATGAAAAAAGTCATTTATTTGTCTTCAGCTTTTGTATTTCAGAGACCATTCTCAAAAAGCCATAGCCTCATGTTATAATATGCAATATTCATGAAATCAATCAACAAAATTGCCATAAAATGCTTCCGCATTGCCTTTACTAGATAAGCGGCTACCGAGCTAAAGGTCTCATATTTATGGTATGGCAGAGCAAAAAACTCTTGTAAGACATCTTCGTCTTATTCATGCGAAGGCTACTTTTTCATTTTCTTATGAAAATACTTTATAACCTCATGCATATATCTGCCATTAAATCCTATTAATCCTAAGAATATTTCAGAGACGTAAGATTTGCAAGAGCTATGGGAAATTCATGGAGTAGCTTTGAAAGATAATGGAAGTTTATGTAGGAACTAGGACATTAGCACTAGCTTACGTTGTCGCGGATTGTCCATTACAGCTTGCAGCAGGAACAGTCGTTGCTGGAAGAATTAATGACGCGGTATCCTCAAGAGTATTCTGCTCAGAAGAAATACTTTCTTCATTCAAAGGAGCGTCAAATATTGAAGGGTTCTACAAGATTGTCTGATTATTTCGGTAGCCGTCGTCAGCAATCTACTGTATGTATACCATGCTCTGCCTCCTTTGACGTTGTATCGCTTCACTCTTTCGTCGTTTATATTGACGTTTCTCTTCTCGCGCATTTTCAATGTCTTTCTGCCATTTACGCCGTTCTTCTGCACTGCTGGAAAAAAGGAACATACAAAATACATAGGTTACAAAATTCTATCGAACAAATTACTCCAAAGATTTACCTCATAATCAAGATGACACTTTTAACTTTGCTTTTGATGAATAGAACCTGCTCGTAGTCCTCATGAGGACTAATCTCTGTACGAACAGTTTCTATAGGAATTGAATACGAGCGTCCCATGTCGAAAAGTCCAGAAGAAGTGAAACCCGACATAACCCGGCAAATCCATAGCGTGTCAGAAAACTGAATACTTGGCTTTGATGAACAAAGCACTTTTCGGTACTATTTCATACGGCAACACACTCACAAGAACAAGATAGCGTGCTTGGGGATCTTTTCGAGTTTGTTTGAAAACTTCTCCTTCCCGAATCAATCGACGACCGCGATAAAATACATCGAAGTGGCACTGAAAATAATGTAGTAGAAGTCAAAAAAGCATCATGAGTCGAAAAATGTACTTTCGTTGCTTGGGTAAATCATTGTGGCTATATTTCTACTATGTCAGATATACCATAGAGAATATTTTTTCGCTAGCAGGGATATTGAAGGGCAAGAAAATCAATATAGGTTTAAAACCTTTAAAAAGTCAAAAAGGAAAAGTGTACTAAGAAAAAAAAAACGCAAAAAATCATTAGAATGAACTCTGAACTAAAAAAGTGGTGATTTAAGCACTGAATGACCACACACTTATAGTGATGCTTGGATTGCTAAATTAGTTTCGAAAGTAATAAGGATACACCAGAATGAGATGATACGTGGAACAAAAAATGGCACAATTTATTTTTTTAAAAGTTCACAGTAAACTTATAACCAGCACATGCTTGACAAATACTCCACGGGGTTAAAAAGCAATCTATATAGGCATAAAGCTACGGGGTTATCAAACAATATCCAGTTATGGCAAACCATCGTGAGTACCATACACCACCAGCTGGTGTTTTGTTGAAAAAACAGAATTTTTCCAGAAATAATACCAGTAAGATGAGAACAGGTTCTTTTACGTAGACATATTCAGAAGCGCCGGAGGATTCAGCGAAAAAAAACCACTTGATCTATATAGAGACGGTCTCTGTTGCTCGAACTGGCTTTTTTACCGTTCAATGTGCGCATCACTGTGACTACGCTGAACAACCGCAGAATTTGATCAACAATCTTTTCAAAAAAAATGAACCTCGATGTTTTCCTTCACATTTCGAGTGTTACGTTAAGCAGACTCGCCAAATGCCGAAGCTAATCTAGGTAGTTTTACCTCAGCGACTCAGACTTGGCACTACTTGTTTGACCCTCAAACATCAT